GAGGCTGCAGAAAGTTGATTTGTGCATTTATTGGTAATCTGTGTTCAACGCTGTAGAAGGCACAACAGAGATTTCACAAAGCACAGAAAATATGCTTCCTACCTTCTGGAAGCACACAGCTAGCTGGGAAAGCACAGATACATGACAAAGACTAGGTGGAGTAAAGGAAAGGTTGTTCAACAAGGAGTCAGACCCAGATTCTAATCTCTGCCTGCCACTTACTCAGTGTCACACCCTGGGTAATTTATTTCCCCATTTGCATCTCAGCTTCCTTGTTTGACCAATGAAGGAGTTAAAAACTGATGGTCTCCTTTGTTTCTAAATACCATTCTTGAAGAAAAGGCATGAGGGCTCTTTAGAGAAATACCTGATGCTAGAGCTAGAGCAGGTAAAATAGATAAGCCTGGAGCATCTTGCAGTACCAAAAGGGCAGTGTTCACCAAACAAATAGATGGGGGCATGTCAAAAGGATGTAAAAGCCCATGCCTGAAGGACCCCCCACTGGTTGAAGTTCAAGCAATTTGATCAACAAAATAAATAACGTACTATTGGATTATAACTCAAAATGTAAAAGATATATACATGAGGACATATTGATATGAATAAATAACTGAATTAAAATGGGGGAGAAAAGTCAAATCTCTCTTATGGAAGAATTCCAAATAATATATGCAGATCCTGCCCCCTCCAAGATGTGAAGCTTATCTCTGCCCTTTCCAAAGACACACGCATAAAATGATCTAGGCTTAGTGACATATTTCCAAAGAATAGAACAGGGAAAAAGAAAATAGTAACTTTATACTGGAGAAACCTGGCAGCAGGACATTAACCAAGGGCTGGAGGTTAATGTCACAGTAATGTCATGTGCTTATTATGTACTCTCAATATGCTACGATCAAAAGGGCACTTCACCTCTGTGGTTGTCTTCTCCAAACCCCAGAACCCCAGGCTACTCATGAGAAAGACAGTCAGATTGAAGGACACTCTACAGGATCCCTTGCCAGTACTCCTAAGGACTGTCAAGGTCACTAAACAGAAAAGAAGGAAAGACTGAGAAACAGTCACAAATCAAAGAAGACATGACAATTAAATGTAATGCACTGTCCTGGATTGAATCCTGGAACAGAAAGAGGACCTTAATGGGAAAAAGGGTGAAACTCAAATAAAACCTGGAGCTTAGTTAATTGAAAAAAAGTTCATGGTCTCTGAAGTCTCTTCCAGCTGGTAGCTATAAGAATAGCATTTAGTATCTAATTGCTGCATAACTGTGCTCATACTGCTTATGAAGTGCCAAGAACACACGAGGTAAGGGAACCATGAAAGCAGGATGGAAGGCTTTAATCAACATTTTTTTCTCTTGTAACTTCCTGTAGTTGTGTGTTTCAGTGATGTAGTGTGTGGTTAGCTCAAAGCAATTTTTGAGGCAATAAAGAAGTGTTTAGGTGAAAGTCTCTTGTCTGTAGCTTTCCCAAGCCAATGCTCACCTCTGCCCTAGTAAGGACAGCCTCAAGTGAGCCAGTAGGTTGTCATCCACTTGCAAGCCTGAGTGTTTGAATCTCCTAGGCAGGGCCATCACACTGAAGTGCACTATGAAACTGTTGCTATGGTGATGGTCATGGTGACAGGACTACCTTTGGCTCATTTGATTTTCCTGGACAGTTTTCTTTATGGAGCCCAATGTGAAATCATGCTGGCTCTGATTCATGACATTTTCCTGAGACTTTATAATGTTTCTTTTTTCTAAGTAAGCAATTTCAGGTCAGGTAAAAATGTGAGTAAATCATGCCTGGCTCTTGTTCCAGATGTATCAATTTCTGTTCATTCCCTTTTTTCCCTTTCATGGCTTTGAGACAATAAAAATAAGCAGTGCCTCCACCCTGGAGCCTTTCTGAGTATGTAATATGTAAACGGTATACCGTGTAGGGAGCAATATTTCCCTACCTTGGTCATTACCGACCTTAGCGTTTTCTCTGGCAATTATCTGAAACAGCAAGAACGTGGAGTAATGATTTTGGCACACTCAGGACGCTGGGAGGATCAAAGAGGCTGGTGTGACAGTTCATGAAACCGGGAGGAAGCAAACCGTCCCCCACTGCCAACACTAACAGCCCTGAGCTTGAGAGTCTGGGAGAGCCCAGTTGCCAAGTGTCTGCCTGCATTTTCTCTGAGGGGGCCAGGCCTAGAGCAGGTCAGGAAAATTATGGCTTTTATCAAGCAGACACCATGGCTCTCTTTGAGGATGGCCAAAGTCTCACTCACTGCTGGTAACTGCAACACATGTGGTCTTTTCAAAAGAGGACATGAATATTTTCATTAACTGGGAAAGAAGGTACCCGCATGAGATCTTATTTATTTGGAATACTTAGGGCAAGGCTGAAAGGAGCAAGAAGTTGGTAAAGAAATTAAGAGGGAGGGCTCTGGAGACAGATTGCCTGGGTCTTAATCCTGGCCCTTTCATGTACCATTCTGTGTAACAGAACTTGAGCAAATTTTCTAATCTGTTGGGCCAATAAAAATGATAATAGTGTCCAAGTTATAGGACTACCCTGACAATTAATAGATGTACTTATAGCACTGCCTGGCACACAGTAAGTCCTCAATAATGTTAGCTGCTATTATTATTTTCATTTTCATAATTATTATTCAGGAAAGGAAGTAATTAGGTTTTGTGATGTTCCATTCTTCAAATATTAACTGAGGGCTTAAAATGTACTAGGCTTTGTGCTGAGCACTGTAGATAATTCAGGAACAAACAAGTCCAGTTGTTTGCCATCAAGAATTTCTATTCTGGTGGAAGAAATAGGGAAAGTGTGCACAAACGACTACACTGCATGAGAGAATGCTTTTTCCTCTGGAGTGACACTGATTGTAAAGTACTTTGGGATTTCAAAAAAAGAGGTGAATCACCTCATAAGTGGAATGGGGCATTCTTTAAAGAGGACTTAACACTTGGGCAAACTTGAATAGTGACATTTTTTTGTTTGTTTTAATGGGGGAGACTGGTGCAGGCGTGGGTGGTGGCAGGTAGAGGAGAGGGGACAGGGAGGACTCAAGGCAGATGAAAAACAGAAGGAAGATGCTGAAAAAGTACTTGAGAGACAGGAGAGTGATGTCCAAATCCAGGGCTTAAACCAGGGGTTCTTGGTGGAAAGAAGTCCACAAAGGTAGGAAGGGTTCAGTGGAGGGCTTTGAATAGATTTGGCCAAAGGAGTTCACATTTTTATTTCATTAAGAAATTAGGCCTCTTTAGTAATAAATTAGTAGTGCTGTGAATTTTGGATTAGAATTGTGTTCTGAGACAATGTCCTGCCATGCCGCTAACCCTTTCCCATATGACACAGGGAGATATTTCCATCCTTTATTACCAGTACAGAAATACTAAAAAGAATTAAAAGTTTAATTTAACAAAATAGCTTAACAAAATACTAGTTCCTCAAAAATTGTGTGTTATGGGTCTTACAATTATAAAGTACTTTTACCAAAGGATTTATAGAGCACACTGTAATTAAACTCAATAATTTTTATAAATGGAATTTGCCAGCTGAGATTTCTCTTTTAAGGAGAGTCTCTTTTCCATAACTCCAAGTGCTTCATTAACCTCATATTGTCACTTGAATCTGTGTGATTGCAAATAGAATATTTCTTACACAACAGCGTTGGCTAAAAGACCAAGTTATTTCAGTTATGTAAATGTGTAAGAAGAAACCTCAACAAAAAAGGTTTTCCAAATATTCCTTGACGTTAAATTCAAAACTTCAAATGTAAGCCACAAATTCTGCAAACAGCATATTTGGGGCAGCCTAAATGTTGCATCGAAATTATCTTTGAGACACTAGGCAACTTGAATGTTGAGTCCATTCTTTTTTGTTTGAAAAAGCCCTTCCCATCTTTCCTTTCTCTCTCCTTCCTGTCTTCCCTTCCTTCTTTCCATCAATAAACATTTAACCAGGACCTCTGATAGATACTATACCAGATGCTTTCATGTTACTTTCCATCAGTCCAGGTGTTTTTGTTTGTTTTTCCTATGAAAGCTTCACTGTCATTGATAATGGCAAGAGCCCTGAGTCAAGCGCCATCCAATTTCTTTATGAAGTTCTTATATAAAAACTCACTCTTGCCCCAGTCAGGGCACATACAAGAATCAACAAACAAATGCATAAGTGGAACAACAAGTCCCTCTCTCTCTCTCTCTCTCTCTTTCTCTCTCTCTTTCTCTTTTTCTCTCTCCCTCTCCCCCCTTTCCTCTCTCTTTCAAATCAGTCAATAAATAAAAAAATAAAACTCACTCTTGAATTTGAGAGCTAATAAAAATAAAACTCACTCTTGAATTAGAGAGGTAAAGCTTTTCTAGGCTTGTACACAGCAAGAACTCAAAAGAACCTGATGATTTGAAGGGCTGGAATGATTCGGCAAGACTTGAGTTCAGGTATCCTGCCAAGACAGTTAACTTGATTCTGTAGATGGTGGCAAGCCACTAGAGGTTTTAAGGCAAGAAAGTGATGTGGTTAGTTGTATAAACTAGAAAGGCCATTATTGAAGTACTGCTCCCCATTTAGAGAATGGAAAGGAGATAATGAAGGCCCAGCGCCAGCCTACCAAGGAAAGAGAAATGGGAAGGAAGCTTCATCTTCTACCCAGTGTACCCTTGACAATACTGAGAAATGGAGCTCAGAACTTGAGAGGCAAACCAGAGCCCTCTGCTTCTCTCAGTTACTCCCGACAACAGATGGAAAAAAGGCAAACCCTCACTTCCTGTGGTCACCATTGATACTCAACTGGGAACCTCATTCTCAGTAGCTACAGAGTTTCCTAATCATTCATCTTAACTTGACACTGGGTTCTACTGCCTTTCATGGGAAAGGTCTTGAGAGGCTGTAAACCTATGTGGTTGGGAAAAGAATGTGCTGCAGTAAATGGGGAAGGAGAGAGCTACAGATTTCCAGCTTTCATAGCTTGTCTGCCTGTTCAGACTGTGCTGCAACAAGCTCTTGAAATCATTTGGGTGGGCCTTGTTTCTGAGGAAATAAAGAGGCCACAGAACCTCCCAAGTGAGTGAATGGTTTCCAGATAGTCAAGTGGAGCAGCCTCTGGCTACATGAGCTGGATGTGCTTGGCGGTATTTCCATGAGGCTGGCCGGTATCCTGATGTTAGCAAAGCAGAAGGCAAATCTTTGGGGAGCTAAAGGACGTGTGCACGTGCCAGTACTTTTGACAAATGTTCAGTTAATTGTTTTCTATGATTCTTCTCTTGAGACACCAACTTTGAACCAAGAAATGCCTCCTCCCACCATCCCAGACCCCAGGGGAAACCTGAGAATTACACACTTTTGGGCCAAGCTTCCGCCCCGCAGGAAATGGAAGATCAGCCCCCGGGGATGAAAGAATGATGGAGGGCCTGGGAAAGCAGAGAAATCTCGTGGGTGACAAAGAAGACAAACTCACACAAATAAAGTCTGTTTTTGTATGCCAATATGATGAACTCAGATTTTCTCATAAGGATACCAGCAAATGGTCATCAGAAGAGGGTTTGGGTAAAGTGATGAAAAATCCGGATCATCCATAACTGGTAAATAATTTAGTGTTTGGAAACCTTACCATTGCAGGATAGAATTCAATTTGGGATTCACTTACTGGAAATCGTGGCATATACAGTGGGTTCCAAAACAAATCATGCATGTGTAAAGGTGAAACAGAGATCTCAGCTGTGAAACCCATGACCTTCATGACTTTTTTCCTCCCAGCTCTAGTCCTTTTACAGTTTTCCCTCTGTCTTTGCCTACATCTTTTTCTACTTATGTTCAGCTTCTACCATTTGTTCACTAAATACTTATCGTCATGCACCGTGCAGGATTCCAACATACTCTGCTCTTGTTGAGTTGGAAAGGTTCATAAGATGTATCCCCTGGAATGAATACTAATTGGATCAGAATCTTACCTGTAACACAACAGATGTTGGTTACTTGAGCAATACACTAGGATGGTGAAGAGCCCCGGTTCAACTTTGACACTATTCTAGAGATGGCTTCAGTGGAAGATAATTGTGATTTATTTTTGTCAAAGATTTAAGTCAAGAGATTTATGCATTAGATCTAAAACTTAATCACTCTATAATATTGTCGAGATACTTCCTTGTTTCTACTAAAGGTTGATTTTATGAACAGTGACAACAATGACATGCTAAACCAATTTTACAAGATCTGCAATCTGAATAAGTTCCAATAAAAAACTAAAATGCTGAGTTGCTGATTTAAGGATTAGTTACTCATTCTCTTGAAATCCAGAACTCTCAAAAAAGGGAAACTTTCTTGAAAAAAAATTGAATTTAAAAGGCATTGACCCCAGCTGGGCGTGGCTCAGCGGTTGAGCATCGACCTGGGATCCCGGCGATCGGGGTTTGATTTCTGGTTGGGGCACATGCCCGGGTTGCAGGCTGCAGCTGATCAATGACTCTCTCATCATTGATGTTTCTATCTCTCTCTCTCCCTCTCCTTCCCTCTCTCTGAAGTCAATAAAGATATATTTTTTTAAAAATAAAAATAAAATAAATAAAATAAAAAATAAAAAGGCATTGAAATCATAAAAGTGAGGGAGATATGTAGTTGGGTAATGAATTGTAAACATGTAGGAAAACCTATAAGTAAACTTCAATAAATGTCAACGGAATGAATGAGAATACAAGATAAGAAAGTAACAATAATAAAAAAAATAAGCAAAAATTTGTCATCAACAAATGAAAGAGTCAGACAGGAATTGGAATTGGTGAATTCAGATTTTAAAAGTTGACTGAGACACTCAGTATAAGAGATGGAATAAAATGAAATAAAGGCAAGGAAAAGAGTTTCAGAGGAAGGAGAGAGAATGAGAGAAAGGGAAAAAAATTGGGCTGATTTTTCCTTATAAATAAATAAATAAGTAAAAGTTAAAGAACTTATCTTGAACAATCATGTTGACTTGTGGGGGGGGGGGGGGCATTTGTTTGTTTGTTTGTTTGTTTTAACCAGGAGACAGCTGGGTTTGTCTGAGATAGAAATATTGACCAGAAAGGTTTGTTGGATAAAAGATCCTACTGTGGCTCTGAAATTAGTACAATGCTATTTGCATATGGAGTATACTTTAAGAAGCAGTAGTAAAACATTCTGGAATACTTTCTTTGAAGAAAAGTAAAAAGCTCTCAATGAAGCCTTTTTCAGACATGTGTCATGGGCTTTTGTTGCTGAACTCTTTCATATTAACAAACCAAGTTGCTCTTCCTTTCATTCCTTTGGCCACAGGACAGACGCAATTCACCAAAGTCTCTACCACAGACATTCTCAGATGGTGCTAATAAAAAGAAGAAACCCAAACCAGAATTGGTGGTCCACATTGTGAGAGTTGCTAAATATCATCACAAAGCAATAATTATCTTTCTGCGTGCTTGGTGGCTCAACATTCTGAAATGCAAATGTCAAGAGCATATATTCTGGAAGATGTTGCTAATGGGAGCTCATGTTTTGTGTTGGGTGGTCTTCAGTTGCGCCTGGTGGTCTTGTTTCTGCCTGCTCTGACAGCACTAATGGTTTCATGTACTCCCCATCCTACGCAGTATTCACTCATCCCTCTTTAGTAATGCACGACAAGTCATAAAAAACAGACTACCCAGAAATGACACTGCAAGTATTCCAGACATTTCTTTCTTGGTGGTGACAGTTCCAAATCAAGTTGGCTTGGTATTTAAATAAAAGCATTTTTCTAAAAGGCAGCTCAAAATGCAGCCTTAGAACTACAAAATCAAACTGGGCTCTTTTTGCCTCTTCCATCATTGCCTGAAATAAATATTCAACTGTTGGACCTCAGCTAGAAACTTGTAATAGATGATGCAGAATGAATCCAACTCTTTTTTCCAGATGCAAAGAACTCATCTGTTGGTTAGAGAGACTTCACTACTTTTTAATAAGCATAGGCAGACTCTTACAGACTTTGTCAGATTCTTTCAGGATTTATTTCTCAAGGTCCCACAATGAGTAGCAAAGGAAGGGTCATAGCTGCTGAGGATGTCAATATAACCTCTGTTCAGAGGATCAAAGTCTCACCAAAAATTAATCTAGGCAGCTATCCCAGTTTTAACTAGGATAAAAGGGTATCGGAACATTCTTCAGTATAAGCTGACCTGCAACTCTGTCCTCCTTATAGGACTATCAGACCAAGAACTTAATATCAATATAATTTTGGGTCATCAATTGGATTGCATTTGGAAAACTCAATCCAAGTCCCCAGAAACCACCCCTGCCAAAGTGATCTCCTGCTAACTCCTTCAGCACTTACTGCCTCTACCAGTCACTGGCCATTTTACTACATTTGGGTCACACTATGGTTAAATTTTCTTTTCATAGCCATTCTTTTGTTGAGCAAACACAAACTAAGTTCCTACTAACCACCGCGAATGACCACTGGGTTTATCATCAGGGTTGGTAGTGATCCTGACCAGAGTAGATTTGGTGGGCTGGTGAAAGCAAACAGCTGAACAGAGTAGGGTTAAGAGACAACAGGAGGGTAAAAGTTGGAGACAGAAAACAAATATATACAGCTCTTTTGAGAAATTTTTCTATAAAGGGGAACAGAAAATAAGATAGTAACAGGAGAGAGAAGTAGGGTAAAAAGACTTTCAGGTGTGTTTTTTTTGGTGGTGGTTTATGATATGGACTGAATTGTGTGCCCTCCCCCCACCCCAGTTCATATGTTGAAGCCCCAACCCTCAGTATCTAAAAATGTGACTATACTTGGATATAGGTCCCTTAAAGAGGTTATTAAGTTAAAATGAGGCTGTTATGGTGGGCCCTAAGCCAATATGACTGTTGTCCTTATAGAAGAGGAGACAAGGACACACAGACACCAGGGATGTGCTCACACACAGTGGGAAGACTATGTGAGGACACAGTGAGAAGGTAACCATCTGGAAGCAAAGGAGACACAAGGGAAACCAAACTTGGTAACTTCTTAAAGCTGTAAACTCTTGAACTTCTAGACTCCAGGATTGTGAGAAACTAAATATCTGTTGTTTAAACCATCCAGTCTGTGGCATTTTGTTATTGCAGCCCTGGGAAATGGATTTGTTTTTGTTTTGTTTTGTTTCTATTGCAAGGAGAGGAATTTTTAAGATGGAAGAAATAATAGCATGATACATGCTTTCAGAAAATAGCCAGAGGGAAATTTTTCTATCTAGGAGGCAGAGGAGAAAATTAATGGAGAGACATTTGTTGAGAAGGTGAAAGTGAATGGGGTCTGGTCTTTGTTATTCACTTCCCAGAGCACCTCTTAGCCTTAGGTCTCAGTCAAGGACCCTAAAATAAATCTTCTCTGACTTCTTGAGAGTTATTGTACAGGAATAAGTAAACTTAATAAGAAGAGGAGACTCTATCAAACCTGGGTTTCTAGAAAAATTGTGAATCATTAAGAGAAATAGATGAGGGGGGGGAAATTCTTTTTAAGTAGAAGAAAAGAGAAAGTGAGACAGAATTGAGGAGAGTGAAGAAAAAGAAATGATTAATTTAACTTTGTCAATGAAAAGTCTGAGTTTGGTAAGATATACAGGTAGAGATGTTCTTGTGGGTGGTGAAACTGTTGAGAGAGAAAATAGCAAAATCCAATGAAAGCGGTGGAGTGAGTCTGCAAGTGAACCTTCTCTTAAAGATTATATTTTCCATAAACAGTTTGTTTACTATGAAGAGTTCCTTCTACCACACCATCAACTCCCCCTGTTTAAAGAGGCATGCAATATCTATCAAAATAAAGTCACTGAGATGACTAAGGTGGTTTGGTAAAGGGAAGTTGGTTAAGAACAAGTTCCAGTTGGGGACAAGAAAATGACTATTCAGTCTTGGCATCTTCAAGATGTTTAACTATGGACAAGGATATCATATGAGAAAGAGGAAACAAACCTGAGATTATAAAGTTTGTGTGAAGTAAAATGCATCATCTTACTACCAAGTCTCACAGTATTCCTGGAAATTAGGAAATCTACAAAGACTAGCCCCATTTTGCAACGGTGGGAGAATCTTGGCATAATGAGCCTAAGAGATTACAGTCATAATAAACATATTTTGAATAGGTCCAACATGTCACAATGAGTCAGTACCAAAATAAAGACTGGAACCCAGGACTCCTGGCTCTTAGCCAGGTCTCCACCCACACAACTTTATTTCCTGTGTTTTTATTTTTGATCTTGAGTGAATTCCCAGTCTCCCTCTTTTTCCCTCTCTCACTCTCACTCTCTAGTTCTGTCTCCCTCCCTTTCTCACGTACCATAGATGACCCTTGTTCATGTCCTCCATAAATCACTCTATAATGCAGTTCTTTTGTTGTTCTCAAGGTACCCAAAGGAAGATTATGGCAGAGAACCAGGGCTCAAACAATAAAGGAGATAATTGAAGGTCATTCAGCTGAAAATAATTCATATTTATCCATGGCTTCCTTTACCAGAGCATCTGGTTTCCGTTAGCCAGCATGGTGTCCTCTGCTTCTGACGATGGTGGCCTATGCTAACCACATTTTTGCTAAAAAAGAAAAGTGCATTTTTACATCTTTTCCTGAGATGTTTTTAAATTCTTCCTTGTATAAAGCAATGCTCTGGATTTGGATGAAGACAATACTTCATGGTGTTAGGTACTGGCAGCTTTGAGCCTGCTCCTGGGCAGCTTCTCTGCTGCTTTCTCTTTGGATCAAGATCAATAATACAATTAAAGATTAGGAAAGCTAAGTTCAGATAGTTTGTCTTATTAACTCCTTCCAGAACTTCTGTTCTAAGCAGACTTAGATTTATTCTATTTTTAAATAGATTTTTTGTTCTTATATCCATGGATGGAGAATATATTAACTCACCCACTAAGCTGTTAAAGCTGCCCACAGTAGGCACTCATTTTTATTTTACTTTCTTTATATAGGACTGTTGTATTTGCAATGAAAACTCATACCCATATTTAAACCATAATCTCTTTCAGCCTGTTCAACCCCACGTGATAGAAGTACCCACTCATTTCACCAAACTTGATTCAAGAAATTTCATATCTATGGCACAAGAAAAATTAGGAGAGGTGATTTGATTTACAAAAGTGTTCTTCAGTCTTTAAAAGGAGTCACTCTAACACAAAAATCAGTAGCAATAATAATATCAGGGATTTTTCCATGCTATGACTGGCTGACAACAAATGCACCTGAAAGTAGCAATGCTGTAGAAGCCCACACGGTGCCAAGTCTCTATGGGGCCTAAAGAGATGCCTCACAGTAACTTACAAAATACTGTTCAGGAATTTCCTGTGCCAAAAGCAAAGGTGAAACATTGGACTGCAAATCAAAGTGAAAGCCAAGAGAGGAGCCAAGTAGAAAATGCAGTTTGGAAAGAAGTCCAGGATTGTAACTGGGCCTTTAGTTTCACTGACTTGGGATGTTCCAGAGTACTCGATTGAGTTAAAAATCAAATTTCAAAAATAATCCACCAAAAAAACACTTAAATAGAATGATAGGAAGTTATCATCTAGTATGTTTTCTGGAACTCAGAATTTAAAAAAAAGAAAACGAAATGGAAAACATGGGAAAGATAAGAGACATACGCTATAAATCCAGAAGATCCAATATTCAACTAATAGGAGTTGTGAGAAGACAAAATAGATAAAGAGGATAAATAATCAGAAAAATTAGGCAAGAATTTTTTCCAACCTGAAGGGCAAATTCAAAATGGATGGTTCTACCAAATGCCAAGTGACATAAATAAGCAAAGTGCAACATTTGAGAAAATCATTGTGAAAAATTAAAGCATAAAAAAGTAACAGATCATAAAGGCCTCTGGGGAATTTATACCCAGGAGGCTTTGTTAGCTAATGTTATAGTGGTAATCATTTTGCAAAATATAAGTGTATTTTGTGCACCTTAAACTCACAATGTTATGTCATTTATATCTCAGTAAAGATGGGGAAAGAGCCTCCAGGGAGAAAAGCAGACTCTTTATCAGTAAAAACATCTTCAAGTTCAAGGATCAATTTTTTTTTCAGCCTAGAATTTAATTAATTTTTTCATGTTTGATACACATATATTGCAAATGATTACTACAATAAGGTCAGTTAACACCTCCATCCCCTCACCCAATTACCTTTTGTGTTTGTGTGTGTGTGTTGATAACATTAAGATCTACTTTCTTAACTTTCAAGTAGGTAATCCTGTATTGTTAATTATAGTGTCCATGCTGTACATTAGATCCCCAGGATTTACTCATCTTATAGCTGGGAGTTTGTACCTTTTGACCAACATCTTCCCATTTCCCCCACCCCCCAGCCCCTGGCAACCACTATTCTACCAAAACAATTTAAGAATAACAAGTATTTTACTTGTGCTTCCTCAAACTCCATGAAGGTGATACACAGTCCTTCAAGAAATACTTCTTACTTCTTATCCCAATCCACTTCTCTCACAGACCACAGCTAATCT